GAAGAAGAAGAAGAAGAAGAAGAAGAAGAAGAAGAAGAAGAAGAAGATTTCTTACATAGCTGTATCAGGAAGAACTGCAGATGTTAGGTGACTCTGCTAAGTCTCTTGGCCATTCCTATTTCTCCCCTTCTCTTTCTACCCTTTGTCTCTGTTGTCTCAACCTCTTGTTTGGAGAGAAACACTCCAGAAGCTGGTTTCCTTGCCTATAGAAAAGTACTATCGAGTATTCATTCATTAGTCATCCCTAATACTTGATTCAGTGGAATCTTTCCCTATGGCCCTTATAATTCAATTTGTAAGTGGGGAATAAGGGATTCTTGAATGGAATGTATATAATTATGCAAGTGAACATACCAATTTGTGCTCAACAGCAGACAAACATTGGTCTCTGAAACTTACTGCAAGAAATCTGGTAGTTATCCACGAAGCCATGGGGCAGGAGGAAGTCAAGAAATGCCATGACTACCATGAGTCCTGGCAACTCATTTGGTTTGCAAAACACCTGCTAAGTCCTAGAATTCTCTCACATCTGCAGACAAAATTGCTGGCTCTCTGAAGTCAAGATGCCTGCAACAGGAATTCTGCTAATGAAGTGCTGAACTGATTGTCGACCACCTGTGATCCTCCAGTAGGATGAAGCTTCTGGAAGGCAGAGACTCTCTCATTTTTATATTTAAATCTCCAGTACCAGCACAGTACCTGGCATGTAGTAGGGATGGGGACAGGGATGGAACTGTGATCTCACTCATACCAGAGCTAGGGAATCCCTCTACCTCTGATAAAGCCCTCATTTCTCAAATATATGGAGAACTGAGTCAACTTTATAGAAATACAAGTCATTCCCCAATTGACAAATGGTCAAAGGATATGAATAGGCAGTTTTCAGACAAAGAAATCAAAGCTATCTATAGTCAAATGAAAAAAAATGCTCTAAATTACTATTGATTAGAGAAATGCAAATCAAAACTTACAATCTTAAGAAGGCTGTCTACAGCAGAGGTGTGAAACAGGCTAGCATTCCCAAGTGTGGCTGAACCAGATTAAAATGTAATTGGGAAATATTTTACAAAATAAATAAAAATACAACAGAATATAGATAATGTTAATCTGTGGTTTTCTATATCAATATGCACCCTGCAGGGATTCTTGTGTACCGATTAGTGTCCTTTTGAGACCACTGGCCTAGAACACTAAGACTTGTTAAGTAACTTGTTAAAATACTTGTCCAGGGTCATGCAGTCAATATGAGGTGGGACTTGAACCCCGGCCGTCCAGACTTTGAGACCAGCTTTTTATTCCCTATGCCCTGCTGCCTCTCCACTGTGTATATGGCACTTTAATAAATGCTTGTTGATTAATTCATTTGCTTATAACACATTGGAAGAACAAAACATGCTTTTTGCTTAATTCTGCTATGAGCAAGATTTCTTGTGTAATGCAAGATAACTGCCATCAATGTATTTATTATATTCTAATTTCAAAATGCCAATGAATGAAAGAAAAGAGCATTTATTAAGTTCTTAATATGTACAATGCACTGTGCTAAGTGCTAGTTCCTGGTCTCATGGCATTCTAATAAGCAGAAACAAACGCATATAATGCAAACACAAGCCTGCATTATTAGTGTTGACTCCCTCAGGCCTCCCTAAATCTAGGCCTTCACTTGGACTCAATTAAAATATGAATGACCTTTATTTGAGAAAGGGGTCTTGTAGGAGGACTTGCTTAGGGTTTTAGAAGTCAAAGTCAAAGTATCAAAGGTGAGATTTGAACCTAGGGCTGCCTAACTCTATCTTATCCAGTCGAGTAGGCCACCTCTGCACAGCTGTATGTAGCCATATCAATAGAAAATTACTATCTATCTATCTATCTATCTATCAATCTATCATCTATCTATCTATACACACATGTATAATTGAATTTTATGAGATTGAGTGCTGGAAAGAGTGTTAGAAATTATCTAATCTAGCTCTTTCTTTTTTATAAGTGAGGAAACCTAAGGCCCAGAAAGGTTGATTTATCTGCCCAAGATCATACAAGAAAGTAGCAGAGATAGGATTTGAATCCAGGTCCTGTGGCTTCAAATCTAGTGTCCTTTCTACCACCCGTGCTGCCTTAAATTGATAATAAAATATGTCATTAGTTCCTATTAAGTAGAAAGTATTATTAATCCCAAATCCCATTCCTCAATTATGTTGGACAAGAAACATTTATTAGATTACTATCATAATTCAATTTGATTCTCTGAACCCAGTTCTGTGGTATGTAACACTGCTTTCTGAAGTTAGGCAAGGGACACCCAATTTTTTTAGAATCAACTTCTCTTGGGAAAGGAGTTTAATTCTCTGGGTCAACGTAAAGAATTCTTTTATAGCATGAATCCCTCCAACTTCCCATCTACCTATGGAAGAATTGGCTTAATTGCTACTGTTCTTATTATAATACCAAATTAGATAACCTATATAAAGCACTTTGTAAACCATAAAGTGCTTTATAAATGTTAGCTTATGTTTATTGTTGTTGTTATTATTATTATTTTGGATAGGGGTTGGTCCTGTGATTTTATTGGTGTTACAAACTCCCAGGTGAGGAAATTCCTTTGGGTACTAATGCAGATAAGCACCTTTTCTGTAGCTAAGAACATTGGGAGGTTAAGTGACTTGACCAGGGTCTCACTGCCAGTATGTATCATCAGAAGTAAGACTTGAACCCAGGTCTTCATGAACAGTTTTCTATCTGCTACTCTCTGTTGCCTATCCATTATTTTTATACACATCCAAAAATACTGGTTCATTTAAAAGATCCAAGTGGAAATAGTTACACTTTAGATGTCAAGATACATCCTTTAACCAATGTCAACCTATGTCCTCGAAAACTCTAAAAACATTTGGCTGGAAACAATTCTGCAGCTGGGCTATATCTGCTCACTCCCTTTCCTTTCATGGTTTCTTGCTGTTTTACAGCTGCCTAAATACAGGGTCTTTTGTTTTCATTTCAGCTTCATCTGGTCAGGCTTTAGACGCCCACCTGATGTACTCAGTGACACCTGAATTAGTTGTGCCAGGCCTTGCTGTGAAGTTCCGTGCTGAAGGGCACTCACACGGAATATTACCAGCAGGGGCGGATGAACCATTAGGGAACACAGACTCCTTGTTCATATAGATGTCTTAAGTAATCACTATAATCATAAAACCAATGTAGAAAAGAGAGGCAAAAAATCATGGTACACTAAGTAAAACTGAGTAACCTTGGACAACATTTAGAGATCAAGTTTCTGCTGAAAACTCAAAGATAGTGACATTCTTCTTGTAATTTATATCAACCAACTGAAGAAAGAGTCTCTTTATTAAAAAAAAAAAACCAACCCAAGAGAGTCGTTTGAATTCCTGGTCTATGTGTGTTTGTTTGCCTATGCGTACAATTCGCTTGCTGCTGTGATGTAGTGGATAGAAAGTTGGGCTTGGAATCAGAAAGACCTGGATTGAAATCTTGCCTCTGATACACTCATTTTATATATGACCATCTCTGGCAGGTCCCCATGGCTCTCAGTACCTCAAGTAACTCTAATAATTTGCATGTAAAGTGAGAGTTTCCATGCAGGAAATACTCAACACAGATGAAATGACTAGTCCAGACCACCTACCTCTGCATCCTAGAAAAAACCCATATATGTATGCAATTACTAATAGAATGAACTTTAATTGTACAGAACAGAGTAGTAGGTGGCTGAAGGTTCTCACAGCAGTATTCTGCTTTGTTCACTGATCTAGGCACACTCAGAGAAAATATAATACACTATTCTATAGCTATAAGAATAATTATACACTTCAAAAAATGCCAAAAAAATTCAAAAAAATCTTTGTTTAAGATAATTGCAATCACTGCTCACAGAATGCAAAATTGGACCAGGTGGGCTGGCCACCAATTTGTCATGTTTAAGTCAGGAATCTGGCTAAAATAAAAACCATCTTTGGGCTTTTCTGGCCTGATTACTTTTAAACATAATGTTTATGCTGTTAGACAGCTACAATTAGGCCCAGTTAAGTGCTGCCCATTTTCAGCTCTAGAGTGAAACTTTCAGAGAGACAAGTGACTCTCTTACAGTTAAAGTTCTATAAGGTAAACAGAAAAATAGTATAGAAGACGGACGATTAAGTCCTTAGGGTTGTTTTTCTTTAAAAGCTCAGTTGCCCTGTCAATGCCACAAATGAGCTTTTGTAGCATTTTCCCCTTGTTCTCCAAAGGTATAATTTATGGCCTTACATTAATCTATCCCAGTGTTCAATCACTAGGTAAAAACAACAGGTCAGAAAACAGGGAGCCCTGTGTTACAAATCAGAATGGATTCATTTTCTAAAGAGTTAGCAATAGATGCAATTTGTTATTCATTTTAAACACACACACACACAAAGGTGATTATATTCTGCCTTGTGGAGGGTATGAAAAAAAAAGGCACATACACAACTGGACTTAAGGAATTCAATCTTGGGGGAGGCACTTTCAATCCAGAAACTAATATATCACATGGTGTAATGGAGCTGATCAGATCTTGTTTCTATCTGTAGGGAACAACCAAAAAATCTCACGTTTGCTTACCTTTGCCCTCCACATTAGCCATAGTTTGAAAACATCAACATGGCGCCCACACTGTAAAGCCTTGTCTCCAGTATCATAAGACAAGTCGTAGTGTTTATCTTGTTGAAAGAGGTAGGAAGCATGCATCTGGTTGCAGCTCTGCATCAACCCCTTAAAGAGACAGGGAGAAAGCAAAAGAAATCCCATCAAGTTTGCCAATATTTAGGGTTGAAATAATAACAATCAAAAAGTCGTGCTGTTGTGACAAGTGAGGTAGCTTGTGACCTGGAAAATGAATGCAGAAGGATTCATGCTATGAGATTAAAGAGAAAAAAATGGGAATAATTTTTCTCAATAGAAAGGACAAGGACACAATTGGTTGTTGAATTAGTTTTATGTATAGTAAGTGGGCCTAGAGTCAAATGTTACTGGACTATAACCATACATATGTGCTTATGCTTTCATTCTCTCCTTAAAGATTAGGCCTTTATAACAAGAAATCATAATCAGGAGCTCAAACCATGTGAAATACGGGTTCTTGTGAAATATTAGTTTGCAGCTAGGAAATATAGGGGATAGAGTGCTGAACTTGGAGTCTGGAGGACCTGAGTTAAAATCTGACCTCAGACACTAGCTGTGTGACCTTGGCCAAGTCACTTAACTTCTCTCCTTATCCGTAAAATAGGGAAAGTAATAGTGCTTATTTCACAGCATTGTTGTCAAGTCCAAATGAGACATACGTACTTTGCAAACTTTAAAGCTCTATATAAATGCTCCTCTTTCTCCTCCTGTTCCTTCTTCTTCTCCTTCTCCTCCTCCTCCTTCTCCTCCTTCTCCTTCTTCCTCCGCCTTCTTCTTCCTCCTCTTCCCTCCTCCTCCTCCTCTTAATGTCAACTATCTGAAGTCCTGGCTTTGTTGTAGTTCAAATGTTTCCATATGTATAGATATAGTCTCTAGTTATACTGATTCACTAGTCATATTTAAAAATTTTGATTCAGTAACAAATTAATCTTTATAGATTATCTAAAAACTGTGATTCTTTGTACCCTCTTACCCCTTTTCTACCACTGCAGATGTGCATGGGAGCCATACAGTACGTAGAGCCCTTTTTTCTTGTGGGTAAACCATTTATCACCTAGTGGACATCTTAGCTAAGCTTTTTCTGGGATTGGATTTAAAGTATCTCTTGCTTGGTTGAACCTGCCTGGGCTTGTGTAAGGCAGTCAAAGCTTTAGAGAACCCTGGATAATTTCTCTACCATGGTGAACCAGCACAGTAGTATTTGAGTTAAAAATTAACATATGGGATCTACTTCTCTTGGGTTGAGTAAAGGATGTCATCCAAGAAGTGTATGAGTGAAAAAGAAGATGGGCTGGCCTGTGATGAGTGTGAGGGATTATTGATAGACAGTCTGTGTACTCCATTGTTGTCTTCATGATGTTAAGAGAATGAAGAAGGCCCTTAGAATATTGAGTGTCTCAAGTCTATGGGAAGACGTGGCTTAGAGTCACACAAAATGGGCAGGCATAGCTGGGCTGTGATCTAAGTGTTTCTAGTGAATACTGCCATTGATAAGAGATGGGTCCATTGGAATATGGGAAGATATTGGAATATTTTGGCTTTTGTTTGGATCAGACTTCAACAAATGAGTATGGCTCATTCTAGTGGGTTTTTTTTTCTTCATGTTTGCTTCTAATGCTTTCTCTTACAATGATGGTTTCAAAGACTAGTTGGGGCATTATTTCAATACATTAAAAGTTAACAAGAGTAAAGATGTTACTATTCTAAGACAATCTTGATAACCTTTTAGTAGAGTGAAAAGTATCCTTATCAAACTGAATTGCTCATTATAGTTACAATGGGATTTTGTGAAAAGCAAAGATCTTAGTACCTTAGTACCCTAACCTTGTCATGCAGAATGGGTAGTGATGATAAGCATTTGAATTGTCCCAAAGAATAGTGTGAGTCATGCTTTCTGTTAAAAAAAAAGTGTTTTGTTTTAATCACTTTCAATTTCTTCGTTAGAAATTACCTAATACTTTATAACTTGCCATGAATCCCAAGAGGCCTTTGTCTAGTCTTTTTATACAAAGTGCCATAGTACCTTTTGGAGTATGTTTTCTTCCTGAATCATGAATAGATATGAGTGCCTTAAAAAGTGGAACTATTTATTCAAAATTAGTAATGAAATTAGACCCTGGGCTATTTTTTTTATTAAACTAAAGATACAATGGAATAAAAACTTGAAGACAGAGCCTGTAGGTCTGAATATGCAGGCTAAGAATGAACAAAATCTTTACCTATCTCATAAACCAGAATCCATTTTGTCTTTAGATTCCATTTTGACTTGAAAATAATCAGATTATTTTTAGAATGGACAAAAAGAAATCACATGCAATATTACAAAAGGTATGGATGAAAATAGACTAACTGGGGCAGAAAAGACAATATGTTTGAGGAATAAAAATAATAATAGCTAGCACTGATAAAACACTTTAAATTTTGCAAAGGGCTTTACAAATATTATCATTTTATCCTCATAACAACCCTAGGAGATATACCCATTTTACAGAAGAGGAAACTGAGGCAAACAGGGTTAAGTGACTTGCTCGTGGTCACATAATTAGTGTCTAAAGTGGGATTTGACTTCAGGACTTCCTGACTCAGAGTGCAGTACTGTCTTTGCTATGATACCTGGCTGCCTATTTAGAGCCCATTTAGGCTTCCTACAGAGATGGAAAAATATTAATAACCAACTTTTATAAAAATGTTTTAAGTTTTTCAACAAGCATTAATTATTCATCTTCCATGTCTACTCTGTGTCAGGCACCACATCCTAGGTGTTGAGTATATAAAGACAAAAGTGAAATTGTCCCTGCCCTCGTGGTGCTTACCTTCTATTGAGGGGAATCAACATCTACATACGTAAGTAAATATGGACCACATACAAAGTAGATACCAAGTTGTTTCTGGGGCAGAATGGCTAGTAAATGGGAGAGGACAGGTTTCATGTAGGAAGTAAAACTTAAATCGAGCCTTGAAGGAACCTAGGGATTCTGGGAGGTGTAGGTGAGGGGAAGGAGGGCATTCCAGGCATGGAGGACAGCCTATACAGAGGCAGAGATGGGCATGTTGAATAGAGGAAGCAGGCCACTTTGCTTATAAGATGGGGTATGTGAAGAAGCCTGAGAAGATAGAGTGGAACCATCCTGAAAATGACTTTTAAACGTCAAACAGAGAAGAGGGAACCATAGGAGTTTTTTGAGCAAGGGTGTGACATAGTCAGACCATGCTTCAGGCATATTAATCTGGCTACTGTGTGGAAGATGGATTGGAGATGGGCGACAATTTAGGAAAGAAGGCAAATTTAGAGACTATTATAATCATATGTTCAAGACTGATGTAAGTAGTATAACTATTATTGCCCCCATTTTATAGATAAGAAAATGAGACTCAGGACAGTTAAGTGATTCGCCCATTGTCATACTTTTGGTATCGAAACTGAGATTTTGAACCCAGGCTCCTGACTCCAAGCTGAGGGCTCTTTTCACTATTCTCCTGTGGTGCTTTTTACTATATAACATTCACTTCTATTCCATGGTTGCAGACTATACAACTAACCCCAGATATGTAACCTCATAGATACGTGTCACTGATCATAATAAAGACTGGCTAAGAGTGGGGGTGAATTAGCATAATCCATCATGCCTAATGGAAACCCAGTTCAAAGAATATGAACATTTGGTGATGGGTCAGTGACATTGGCATTGTCTTTGCATAAAAATGTCAGGAAAAATTGCTGAAATGTCTTCTCTAAAGACATTCTCCCAATGGGAGGTGGCACTCCTAACTGAGGTTTGTTCCACTGAACGCTATGGATGTCTCCAGAATGTGTATGTTGGCACTGGTGCCAGCGTACACTAAGGAAAGCTTGCTAAGCTAACTATGTTACCTTTACCTCTCTGAATCTCAGTTGCCTTATCTGCAAAATAGGAACAATGAGGCTTCCATGACCTGGCTCATGGGCTGTTGTGAAGAAAATGCCTTGAAAACATTCAAATGCCATACACATTTGAGCTGTTATCATCATTACTAATACTAATGTAGACAATAATAATGATAAATATAGGTGCTTCTTGCTGTCAATTAGTTGTTACAGAGAGCAACAAATATTGAATCAGAGAGAGCCCCTTATCTGAACCATTCATTTCCGCCAATTCTAAATGCATATGACTCCACGATAAATATAAAGCACAGATTCTCTACGCTTGATAGTGCGATTTTCCTTAAGTGCAGATTTAACCATCTTACTCCCCTGCTCAAAAAAAACTCCAGAGGCTCCCTATTACCTCTAGGATAAAATACAAAGACCTCTTTTTGACATTTAAAGACTTTGCCAACCTGGGCCCATGCTTCGTTTCTAGCTTTATCTATCCATTACTCTCCTTCCCTCACTCTTTGGTCCAGCCAATTTGGCCTTCTTGTAGTTCCTCACACATAATGTCCCATCTTCTGTCTCTAGGCCTTTTCACAGACTGTCCATATGGCCTGGAATGCTTTCCCTCTTCATCTCTCCCTCTTACAGTCCCCTTGGTTGGTCTCATTTTATTATTGTTGTTTAATCATTTCAGTCATCTGTCTCTTCGTGACCCCATTTGGGGTTTTCTTGGCAGACATACTAGAGTGGCTTACCATTTCCTTCTGCAACTCACTTTATAGGTGAGGCAAGCAGGGTTAAGTAACTTGCCCGGGTTCACACAGAGAGGAAGTGTCTGAGGCTGGATTTGAACTCAGGAAGATGAGTCTTCCTGACTCCATGCCCGGCACTCTATGCACTATGGCACCCCCTAGGTGCCTCTTTCAAGACTTATCCCAAATCCCATATTCACAGAGACCTTTCTTAGTCTGTCTAGTTGCAGGTCCTCTCTCTGAGCTAACCTGCCATCTACTCTGTAAATACTGTGTGCATACCAAGTTATTTGTATGTTGTTTCCTCCAGGAAAATGTGAGCTCTTTGAGGTGAAGGGCAGCATTTTTGCCCTGCTTTGTAGCCCCAGTACCTAACACAGTACTTGTTACACAATAAGCACTTAATACATATGTTTTGATTGATTTTTTTTAATCTGGGAAAAACGAGACTGAACATTATGGCATTATAGTGACCAAGTTGGGCCCTATAGAAAACATGAGAAAATGTACTTCCCTCTCTTCTCCATGGAAATGGGGAACTTTGAGGGTGGAATATTGCATAAACTTTCAGATTCATTTGAAGTGTTCGTTAGTTTTGCTGAATTTCTTTTTTTTTCTTTTAATTTTGTTGTTGTTGTTGTTATAAGGGATGGTTCACTACATAGGAGAGGAGGAAAGGACATATTCAGAAATAAAAGTGACATAAAAGTAAATGATATTAAAACTGAATTTAATAATAATAGCTAATATTTATATAGGGCTAAGCACTTTACAGATTTATCTCAATTGATCCTCACAACAACGCTGGGAAGTAAGTGCTATTATTATCCCCATTTTACAGATGAGGAAACTGAGGCAAACAGGTGAAATGACTAATCACACAGTTAATAAGTGTCTGAGGCTGAATTTGAACTCATGCCCTCCTCATTCCAGGCCCAATGATCTATCTATTGCTACACCTAGTTGCCTCTAAAATAATTCCCATTTGGAAACTATGCCCATAAAAACGGAGAGGCCTTCGAAAGCTATGACTGAGTATTAGATTTAGTCTTCTCCCCCTTCCTACCCTTCAAAGTCTTTTGAGTTTAATTTTTTGGAGGTTCCTGGGAGAAACAACTTAACTAGCATTTGAACCCGCTCTTCCGTTTTGTCGTTGTTCAGTCATTTCCGTCGTGTCCAACTCTCCGTAACCCTATTTGGAGTTTTCTTGGCAAATATTCTGGAGTGGTTTGCCATTTCCTTTTCCAGCTCATTTTACAGATGAGGAAACTGAGGCAAATAGGGGTAAGTGACTTGCCCAGGGTTACACAGCTAGTAAGTGTCTGAGGCCAAATCTGAGCTCAGGTCTTCCCTGAGTCCAGGCCTGATGCTCTATCTACTGCACCATGTAGCAGCCCCAGTTTTGTCTCTAACCATCATCCAATTTCCATATATGCACCACTTATGTCCCACGTAGGGAGAAAATGTTCTGAAGGAATAAAAATGAAACCAGCCCAAACCTACCTCTTCTCTAACCAGCAGAGCTGAGCACTGCAAGGGGACGCCCATCATCTTGTGAGGGTTCCATGTCACGGAGTTGGCCCTGAAATAAAATCAAACCATATAAGAGAAAAGCTTCACTGAGAGAGTCTCAGGAGACTCAAATTCTATGGGCAGGGCTCAGGATTCCAAGGTACCCCTTCCCATTCCTGATGTGTCATGCTTACAACAACAACAAGCATTTATATAGCTCTTTAAAGTTTGCAGGGTGTTTTGTGGGGATTCCAAAATTGTCCAATCTGCAAGAAAAACCACTGAGGCAGAGCTCTGAACCAATGGCACTTTATTAAAGGGTCCATGGCCCATGCTGATGAAGTGGACCTCGGATCTTTCTCACCATCTGAGATGCCCCCTTCCTCCAGGACCTTAGTTTTATAGTACTTGATACCTGGACAATGCAGGTGAAGCAAACTAAAAGTACAGCATCTCATTGGTTGATAGACCTTGCCCTTCACCCTCTAGGAAGGTCTCACAAAATACAAAATCCCATTGGTTGACAAATTGGTTAATGAGCAGACCTTGATGGACTTATTTTGACCTTTCAGGAGGTCCTGATGGGCACACCTATGGGCAAACTGGCAACCAGGGTCACTTGTTGGTCAAGTGCTCATGGTCATCTCACCATGTTCCCCATGCAATAGAGAGATGCCAAGGGACAGAGCAACAAAAGTAACTGGGGAACTTTCCATGAAATTGAGTCACCTCCACCATGCTGGACTTGGTCACCACAACAAGTTAAAACAAGGGTGGAGGTCCTCTAGTTAGCTTCCTGTGATTAAGCAAGTGAATTTACAATCTGCAGTTCTCAGCTCTGAGGCCTACTATCAGAATTTATAATCATCACCCCAATGGAATCATATCAAACTAATTAATACTGATTGGAATAAAATAGGGGTCCAATAAAATAGGGATCCGATTAATCATCTATCACAGTTTTCTATACATTATTTTATTTAATCCTCACAACAACCCTATGAGGTAGGTACTATTATTACCTCCATTTTACATGGGAGGAAATTAAGTCTGAGGAAGGTTAAATAACTTGCTTAGGGTCATACAACCAGTAAATATCTGAGACAGGATTTGAACTGATGAGACCCAACAAACATGACTTGAATATGAATTCTCTGTCTTGCCACATAAAGAGTAGAAAGATCTTAGCGAGAGAGGCAAAGAAAGTGCCTCCATATGGCCCTGAGCACTCACATTTGTAGGTACTTATTCAGTCTTCCCTGGGGCACTCATAGGACCAGTGAACAGAAGAGAAGAAATGTGCCTATTTCTGGTTTGGGGTACTTAATAAGATTTGGAGCTCAGGGAAGCCCAACATTCCCTGGTAGCAGTCTGTTCCTTTCAAAGTCAGTACATGACTATCCTCTGGAAGAAATACCCAAAGCAAAGTGGGAAGTCTAATGTAGGATGTATCTCCCTCTGGCTCTAGATGGAAAAAAAGGCAAGCAGGCTGAAAGCCAGAGAGTTCTTTTTCTCCCTCTTTTTTCACAATAATGAATGTGCTTCCCACGTCTTAGTGACGCTGCCTCAGCAGGAAGTTAGGAAATGAAGGCGGAGAGGAACCAATCTATCTATTTGATGAATGGGTATCAGTCAACCAGACAACAAGTACTGGCTGAGCATCCCCTGTACTTGTGACACCAAATGATGTGGTTAATAAGACAGTACCTTATCCATCTTCACCTCGGCTAAGACTGATGGCACCAGTAGGAGACCCTCAGGCTTAGAGTTGAGGAGAAGAAAGTCATAGCAGAAATATAACTAGCAGGGCTGCCACTCTTGAGGAAATGACCTAGTGAGTCTCAATAAGATGACCCTCCCCATAGAGAGAGCCTAACTGGCACATTTCCTACTTAGCTGCATTCCTTTGGACTTTTCTCCATCATGCATCCAGGAACCTCACCAACCTGCAGGATTGCATCAACATTGGTACTCACACCTCATCCATACCCTCTGCTTTGGGACCCCTCTAATTGGAGCGCAGAGTGAAGAACTCTTCTCAAAGTCTCCATTTAAGGAAGGCACCCAGGCCAGCTATCATGGCAGCCATCATGGGAAATGGCTAGCCATTTCCCACCTGACTGGACTCCTCTATCATGCTCTTCTCTCCATCCTTCCCATCCTTCCTTCTTCCTACCTGCTTTTCATCTTCCTTTTGTCTGTTGTTTTCTGCTTGAGGACAGGGACTATTTTTATATTTGCATCCCCAGCACTTAGTGCCTGACACATAGTAGGTACTTAATAAATGCTTATTGACTGAGTGACTTTGTACCTTCCCCTCACTCCTGTACTTAGCCCAGTCTTTGCACACAGTAGCTACTAAAAAATGTTAACTGTGTCAACGGAAGAAAGAAGGTGTCTGCGATGAGATTTGTCACCTCTGTTTCAAAGAAACTGTAATATTGGTTGTAAGTCTCTGCATTACTTTATTTTCTAAGCTTTCCTTCTTTTCTTGGTTACCTAGGTGACACAGCTCTGAGCATGTATCAAATGCTTCTGTAAGAGAGATAGACAGTACATGTTGAATTCTCCATGATTCTATACTGATTCTGCTAGAAACTAAGATGAGAAAATAAATGTTCAGATCTCAACACTATTGAGATGATGCAATATTCTGCTAAAAGTGTCTGTGCTCCAACAAGAGTTTTTGGAGTCACTGTGTCATTCCCCACAAATGGGAAGAGAAGATAGAGACTTGAAGAGTCCCTAACATTTTAAAAATGGTCTATAATAATAAATACTGAAATTTGTATTAGCACCTTGAGACTCTCTCATTTTAGCTTCACAATAACTGTCATGTAGTTATACAGTTGGTAAGTGTTGCTGGTCCTTTAAGACTCCAAGTTCAATACCCCTTATAAATGGCCACACTTTCTTTCCCTCCATAGCATTATTTTACAGAATCTCAGAGTAAAAAGGTATCTTGAAGGTGACCTAGTCTAACCAGTACCTGAATAGAGATTCCCTCTGCATCATTTCTGATTCTACAGCCTCCAGTGTTGGGGAACTCACTACTTCCTAAGGCAACCTATTCCACATGTGTACAGCTATAATTTCCAGGAAGTTTTTCTCTATTTTGAGCCAAAATCTCTGTCTCCATAACTTCAGACCTATTGTTCCTAGCTCTTATCTCTGGGGTCAAGTATAACAGCAGCAATAACAACAATAATAACAACAAGTATTTATAGTGTGTTCAGGTTTACAAAGCTCTTTGCAAATATTTTCTCATTTTATCCTCACAACAATCCTGGGAGGTAGCTGTTATTATTATCCCCATTTCACAGATGAGGAAACTGAGGTTAAGTGATTTTCCCAGCATCACATAGCTAGTAAGTATCTGAGAAGGGAGCTGTATTGAGAGTCCAGATCAGGGGTGGGGAATGTGTGGTGCTAAGGTCACATGTGGCCCTTTAGGTCCTTGGGTGTAGCCTTTTGACTGAGTCCACGCTTTATAAAACAAATCCTTTTATTAAGGGGATTTGTTCTGTGAAGTTTGGATTCAGTCAAAGGGCCACACTTGAGGACCTAGAGATTCGTCACCCCTGGTCCAGACCTAGCCTTCCATCCCCTACACTACCCATCTGCCTTAAGGCTAACTCCTCTTTTACACACTAATCCTTTAATATTTGAAAACAGCCATCTTGTTCCATTCCCTGTCCTCATCTTTTTTTTTCTCTGGGCTAAACGTCTTTACTTCTTTTACGTGAAACTTACATGGCATGGTTTTGATTTGCTTATCTATCCTGGTTGCCTTCTTTTGACATTCTCCAGATTGTTAATATCCTTTCTAGAATTGACTTCTGGAACTGAACTTCATATTTGGGACATGGCCTGACCATAACCTTCTTCATTTTGGACTCCTGTGCTTCTCTTAGTGAAGCTTAAGTGGGTACTGACTTGGCATGTCTCATTGCTGACTCACATTGATCTTGGGGTCCACTAACCCTTATCCCTTCCTCCAATTATTTTTCACAGGAATTATTATGTGGCCAGACATCCCTATTTGTGTTGCTCCTTTGTCATTTCAAACATAATTTCTCTCTCTCTATGGTCTTTTTACTCTTCATGTGGCAGGACAGAGTCAAGTGTTCCATCTGGGGTTTCCACCTATTTCTGGTCTGATAGCTGGGTAAGTGGGGCAGGTAATAAGACCGTGTGAGGATATTTGTGTGAAAGTTCCTTGCTCTCCTGGTGAGTATATGTTATCTCCAGTACCCTAGCATGGTGCTTTGCACATAATAAATAATAATTATTAATTAATATCGTTTGTCTATTTGAATTATTATGAATAATAGCTAGCACTTATATGGTGCTTTGAGGTTTGCAAAGTGCTTTACATGTTATCTCATTATATCCTTCCAATGTCCCTATGATGTAGGTACTGTTATTCTCATTTTACAGATGAGGAAACTGAGGCTGGGAGAGGTTAAGTGACTTGCCAATAGTCACACAGCTAGTTGGTATCTAAGGCAGGATTTGAATTGAGTTTTTTCTGATTCCAAGTTCAGTACTCCATGCACTTCACTGCCTAGCTGACAATTGAATAGGGTCAGTTCTGTCCTTTATCCCTCTGCCCCTCCCCCAAAAAAGGCCCATAGTTCCTTTGTTTTGTGTTCCAGGGGGAATCTGAACCCTCACTAGCTCTCAGAACGGTAGTGATGTCTATATGGGAGCAGTTCTGTTTCCAACCACCAAGTACTGGCCTCATTGGGTTAGCAGAAGGGGTGGTTATAAAAGTAGCCCCTGACCTTGGAAAAGGTCATGTGGTCATCAATTTTGGGTTGGCACGTAAGAAATCATCTAATCCATACAGAGAAAGGGATCATAAAGATCTCCAATGAGGGAGAAAGCCAATGGGACAGCCTGTTTAATTTTTGATTGGCCCTAATTGTTATGGAAGGTTTTTTTTTTTCTGACATCAAGCCTTTTTTTTTTCACAACTTCCACCCACTCCTCCTGGTTCTGCCGTTTGGATTAAACAGAACAAATTCTCATCCTTTTCTGATGTATCAGCCTTTCACATACTTGACCACATTTCTGTCATTCCCTCCCTCCTCTAGTTTTCTTTTCTCCAGGCTCAACATTCCCAATTCCCTCAGCTGATAATATTGCCACAAGGCAAATGCCCTCTTTGTTTTCTGCTGGCCAGCTATTAACAGTCATCGAACCTTGTTTCATTGGGGAGAGTAGCAGCTCTTTGCACTCACTGCCTTTAAGCCCTGCATGAAGAAGGACATAGCAAGCCAGGTTGGGGGGCAGACAGCCTCTAAGTCTGGGGCTATTAGCTCTACCCTGTCTGTGTCGTTGACTGTGCCTTCCCACCTTTACGAGTCCCTGAGCCATAGTTATTCATTTCCCTGTTCAGATTTCATTCATTATTTCCTTGTATAACATTTGAACCCTAGGCTTCAGGGTTATCTCTTCATTTTAGGAGAATAGATTTCAAGCCGGAAAGAGCCTTGGAAGGTTATCTCATCTGACCTCCTCATTTTCTAGCTAAGGAAGCTGAGATGCAGAGAATTTACCCATAATCATATCTAGTAAGTATCAGAGCTAAGTCCTTTGTAACTATCCCAGTGGAGATTTGAACCCAGGACCTCCATTTATACAACCAACACTCTTTTCCACAGCACCATCTAAAAGTCCCTGACACAATACTCAGAATCCATTTCTTGTACTCTTTTAACCAGTCTGGATCATTGGTGTATGTGCTTGATTCACCTTCCACACAGTTAGTGCTTAATGAATGCTTGCAGAATTGAACTGTATATAGTTAGACTATGATTCCTCCTGGACCTTCTTGACCTGCCTGGAACTCTGGGCTGGGGCCTAGAACAATGCTTTGCACATGTCAGGTGCTTAAGGGATATTTGTTTAATTGAATCAAATCTGACACAGACCCATGATGTCCAGTCACACTATCCTTCTGTTTGGGCCTCTTTGCTTTGCATGGATCGCTCTGCCTCTGTATGTGATCTATTTTCTCCAATTTGACTTGAAACCCCAGGATTTGACCTTGGTTTTACCTTCTGCCTTCAATCACCTGGCTTCCCTCTCTTCCTTGACTCACTGGTTCTCCTGTTATAACCATTCCTGTGATGCCACATTGCCTGCCATGCCAGACCAGATTGGCCTAGCTTCTGGTCTTGGCCTCTCCAGGGCTGCCATGTCCTGCTGCTGTCTGTGACCTGGGGCTGACAGATGCTCCCACACGCCACTGGGCTCCTCCTTCTGTTTCTGGGACGGACATCTTCAGGAGAGGCTTTGGCGCCGAGCCTGTGGGGAGACTGCTTTCCTAGCGAACATCTGGCTATCTGGCAGGATGTGGTGGGCATTTGGTTGCCTCTAATGAACTCTGCTTCCCATCTGAATTGGGGAGGGGAGAGGACAAAGCGAATGACCGTAGCTCAGACTTGCGTTTTGTGAGACCTCTTTGTTGGAAGAACCGGGTGAACTTCCCCCAGTGTCCAGCAACAATTTCTGAAGCTGCTATAGCAGCCAATATGCTTTGAGTGTCTTTTTTTTAACAACATACACATTTTTTTTTGTTTTTGTTTTTGTTTTTGCTTTTTAAACAATTGGGGTTAAGTGACTTGCGCAGGGTCACACAGCTAGTAAGTGTCAAGTGTTTGGTCTGAGGCCGGATTTGAACTCAGGTCCTCCTGACTTCAGGGCTGGTGCTCTATCCACTGTGCCACCTAGCTGCCCCACATTTTGGTTTTGAATTGAAAATGTATACTCTGTCCTAATCATTTTCACATCTGCTCTGTGAAACTGATTCTCAATAAGGGCTCAGCCTCCAAGCAAAATGAACCTAACGACAAAGTTTAATGTTATAGGAGAAAACAGTTAATATAAGACTAAAATCATGAGACATTATCCCAGGTGTGTCTCACTCTAAGTAAATGGGTATACAAAAATTCAATGTACATTACAAAAGAATTCACAAGAGCCTTATCTTCAAATAGCCAGCTCCTGGACTGTGTTTAAGAAGATTCGATTTTGAAGAATTTAATTTACACATAATCAATGGGAGCTGCAAAAAGCCAGGCATACCTGCATTCCAGGATTCTCTGGAGTCTCAATGGGCTAGCTGCCTTTGATACTGCTGGGTAAATGTGCTTACCTTTCCACACCATTAAGCTTCCATTTATGTTTCCGGGACATCAGTAGTCCGCCACCCCAGGCTGCCTAAAAAAAGATCATATGATCACAAGTTTTAAAGCTGAAAGGAAACATTAGGGACCACCTATTCCAGGGATTCTTGACCTGGGATCCATGGATGGATTTTAGGGGATCCCTAAATTTGGATGGGAAAAATGACATCCTCATTTTCACCAATGTTTAACTGAAATTGATCATTTCCTTCAGCTGTGAATTTAGGCAACAAACCACAGTAATAGTAAGTAGTGGCACAGTTGTGGTAGAGATTTTGAAATATAACTTACAGTCATCACTACTTCAAAACTGCTGCAGCTATTAAACCTACTGGTAGATATTAGTATACCACAAATTTATTTTTTATATTTTGATGAAGTATTAATTTTTTGCTATTTGCCAGTTATTTTGACACCTGTATTTAAATATATTTAGTTTACTTTGTAATTTTATCTATTGTATACACTTAAAACATTCTTAGAAGTTCATGGACTTCACAAAACTGCCAAAGGGGCCCAAGGCATAAAAATGTTCACAAACCGTGATCTAGTCCAGTGCTTTCATGGGAATATAAGAAAAACAAGAACCCGTCCTTCCTTTTCTAGATTTCTCTGATTAGGGGACACAAATAGCCATTGGTGCCTTCTACTAGATAGGTGATCTTGCCCACTGAAGACCACCTCTCTGACTACAGGCATATTCCAGTTTGATTATATTCTGTACTGGCCTTCTGAAGAGCAGAGTTGGGTGGATCTTCCCAGAATCTCTGACTCCATTCAAACTTTGAGGTTTGTGTGGGGAGAAATACTTAGGGGACATCACCTCTGCCTGAGTACAGTGCAGAGGGGTCCACGCTGTTTCCTCTCCTCCTGTCATTAAAGTTCTAGTGCAGAGTATGTGGAAATAAAGCCTAGGAATCTGAAGTGTGAAGAAGGGGGGTCCTTTGAGGCATGGGGTCAGCTGGCTGGGTGGGAAAAAGAAGTCTAGTTTCTCTCTTAAAAAGGATGTAGCCCTCAACAGGAGGATATAAAAGGTTACCTTGCAAAGAAGAGCATATTAAAAAAGAGGAAATTCATCTAAGGATGCAGATGAATTTTTTTTTAAAAATTTATTTAAGCAGGGAGATAATTGGATAATTTTAGAATGGGTTGCCTAACAAGTTGTTAATCTTCCTGGAAGGGTCTTCCATTTACCAAGATTTGTACCAGTGGAGAATCACCTTTGGAAAATGATGTGTCTAAACAGAATAGAGATTCATTTGAAAATTCAATTTTTTAAAAATTTGCAATATTGAAAAAAAAACCCTGATATTTATGTGCTTCATTGGTATCCTTGTGATGTCCAGAGACAAGAAAGCTGCCAGCTCATTGTTTAGACCCCCCCGTGGTGACCTTATGGGAGGACAGGAATAAGAGTGGCTTAGGACCCGAGGCATGGATGTGTTGTGATCTGCTTTGCCAGAGGGAATTGCCACATGGATAAAGGTCACAGATTTTTTTCAAACATTGCCAAAATAATTCAAAATTTAAAATATAAAATAGATATGCAGTTTTAAATTATTTTTGTATATTATTATTGTAATTTAAGTTTTTTTTTCACTTTTAGAAGATACACACTAACCTCAGAGTTACATAATGGGCTTATAAGGCCTGTTTTATAACTGAGGATTTGTGTTACTTTTCTTCTCTATTTTAATTTTAGAAATCACGTAAAAATAAAAGAGCATGACAGAAGTTTGAAAAGTTAATACAGTATTTTGAAAGAACTCCTATTTCTATTTTCAATAGGAAATATGGGTCAGAGATCATGGAGCTGAACTCAGAACAGAGAGGATGTCTTATTTTTAAAGTCATTAAGGTGACTCCTTTTAGTGGATTGGTTAGCAAGGTTAAACAGGCTGGTCAATCTTTGTGTAACTGGGCAGCATGTCGTAATGGAAAGAAAGTGGTTCATGAGACCCAAGTTCTAATTTTGGTTCTTCTACTAACGAGCACCGTGACTATATGCAAGTCATTTAAACTCTTTGGGCCTCAGTGACATCATCTGTAAATGAGAGAGTTGGTTGTATTACATGGATTCTAAAGTTCATGCTATAATTTCCTGCCTGGGACCAGGCCATCCAAGAAGATATGCCTAGTTTTGGCATAATCCACAGTTCTGGGTTGGGGGGGATGGTAAAACAAAACAAAACAAAACAAACAAGTTTCTGATAACAAAGAGGCAACTTTGCTTCTTGGTCCATGATGGTAAGAATTTGTCAGGCCGGCCTGACCTTAACGAAGGAAAAGGAAGTTCAGTTCTCCCAGGTCCTAGACTCAAATCCAGTCACAACAACAAAAATAACTAGCATTTATACAGCATTTAAAGATTTTCAAAGTGCTTTATATTTTTATTTATTTATATTTATATTATATATAATATGTTATACATTTATAAATATGTATTTATAAACACATTATATATAACTATATTTATATTTCATTGGATTCTCATGATCATCTAGTGAAGTAGGTGCTATTATTATCCTCATTTTACAGATAAAGAAATTCTGATTATGCAGGCTGAATGACTTGCATAAGGTTGCAAACAATCTAAACTTAAATCCTTTTAAAAATAGACTTTTCATTTGGAAATATTTTGGGTGGGCCTGCCTTCATGATTCTTTGGAATGCATGTAATTAGTCATGAAGGCAAAATACTGGAAACATAAACTATATTTTCTAGGTTGGTTAAAATGAGAAACTGCATGAAACAGGGTATAGCCAACCTAGCAAATACCCAAGCCTGCTTTCTTCATCAAGCCCACATGTCTGATGTGGAATCCTTTTTGAAAAAGTTTCTCAACTTTGGGCTGCTGACCTAAACTCAACATCTTATCTCCTTTAAAGGTGTTGCATAGAAGTATCACACAAGCAAAAAGGAAAGAAAAATATTCTGGGGGGAAAAAGACTCTTACTGTAAGTAAGTTTATTGTTTGCAGTCAATTTGCTCAGTTCTGTAATTTGGGAATTAGATCTTTAGTTCCATTTGCTATTTACAGGGGCCAGAAGACTTCTATGATTAGGAGTTTCCATCATGATGGAAATATGTTTATTAATACATTTCAAAATGTATTGAACTTGAAAGGGTCCAACCCTTTTGCATAGAGACAGCATGGTACAGTGGAAGAAATGGTGGAATTGGGGTCAGATGACCATTGTTTGAATCCTCATCTTGCTACCTGTATGACCTTGGGTGAGTCACTTATGCTCTGGGTGCCTCCATTTGCTCATCTTTAAAATTAAGGAGTTGGACTAGATGATCTCCAAGGTTTCTTCCAAGTCTAAAGCTATGGTTCTCTGATTTTACACAAGCAAGTTGAGGCATCAGAAGATAATAAGTCACAGAAGTAAAACGTAAAGGGACACTGGAGGTGATACAGTCCAACTCCCTCATTTTGTCATTGAGAAAAAAAGGGCCCAGACAGGTAAGTGACTTGCTCATTGTCACACAGTAATTAGCAACCGAGTTTGGATTCAAAGCCAATCTTACGATTTCAGATTCAGATTTTCTGTCACATTACCCTGCCTATCATTGACTTCAAATTGATTCCTGGAAACACTAATATTAGGCTGACTATAGCCTTCCATACTCCCTCCAGCCATGATGGGGAACTTAAGAAGACCACCATGAAAAATTTTTTTTTACAAAGTAAAAGAAATAAATTCCATTTTTTATCCCAAGAGTCACAGGCAAAAACCAAAAACAACAGCAGCAAAAAGAAGTTCCTAGAAGAAAAAAATAACCCACACAATTTCCCAGCCCCAGACTTCCTGGGGGGGAAATCCTTCAGGAGTTAATTCTTCATAGGGTACTTACATCCACATGCATCCAGATCTTATATTTTTTGCAGATGTCAGCAATAGCTAGAAGGGGATCAAATGCACCATACACAGTGGTTCCTGCGGTGGCACTCACAAAGAAGGGAACAAATCCCTAGATAAAAGAAGAAAGATAAAAGAGTGTGAAGGAGTAGCTTACCTGATGGCCATTTCTTAGATATAGTCCAAACCACCAGGCAATGTACCTTGGAAAGTGCATTCCTTCTCTGGAACAGCTATTGGGGAGAAATAAAAGGTGAATCTGCTCCATCATGGTTGCTATCTATCTATCTTTCTATCTATCTATCGATCTATCTATCTATCTGTCTACCTCTATCTTTGTCTGTATATATATATATCTACCTTTATATATACACACATATCTAAATATATGCATATATATCTATCTCTGTGTATATATGTTTATAAGTATACTTATATAAGCATACTTATATATTCATATAAGTATATAGTTATGTGGTATATATAGCATATAAACTTATATAAATATATACTTACACATTTCCTTATATACTTCCCTATATATTTATGTAAGTATATAGTTATATGGTCTATATAGCATATAAACTTATATAAGTATATACTTATACACTTCCTTATATACTTTTATACATATATACATAGAAATAGACACATAGAAATAGATTGATTGATTTAAGATTGAGGGCCTGGAAAATTCACTGTATATAAATATATGGATGTATATCAATATATATCCTTTATCTATCTATCTATCTATCTATCTATCTATCTATCTATCTATCTATCTATTTAATTTTCCAGGCCCTAAATTTCACCCTCCTCTTACCGTATTCTAACCTGATCCTCCTCTTTTTCATCATCGATTCATCATGTTCCCAGTTTCCACACAGATAGGTGGCAAAGTGGTTGAAATGTTGGGCTTGAAATCAGGAAGATCCGAGTTCATAGCTGACCTTTAGCTATGTGACCCTTGGGCAAGTTACTTAACTCTGCCCAAGTTTCCTGAATTGTAAAATGGAGATAATAGTAGCACCAACATTATGGGATTGTTGTGAGGATCAAATGAAATAATATTTATAAAGTGCTTATCACAGTGGCTGAAACATAGTAGGTGCTTAATAAATGCTTGTTCCCTTTCTCCTTTCCCCATTGATCACTGGGAACTGAAGAAATAACATCTTCCATGGGCCAAGATGCTTTTATTAAAGATGCATACAGAAAGACTGGAGAGGATTTTTTCCATGGAGACACAGGGGGAAATGTTCAAAGGTGAAATCATGGGTTTACCAGCTTTATCACATTTCCCCCCTCCCCATCTTTTCTGTTCCTGTCTCCTTTGGATGTTAGACCCCTGTTTTACCTCTAGGTGGCACAAAAGGCCAAGGCTGTAAGCCTTCAGGATGCTGTCTGACTAGGAGACAAAAGACGTGATACACTCCGACTTTCTCCTCCCACCTTCTCTCTCACTTTGTCTAGCCCTGAAAAACATGTATGCTCTTTTGCTGTCCTAATCCCTGCAGGCTGCATTTGCCGAAAACCTCTACTAACAGAGCAGAGTCTTGAAAACAAAACTGATCTTGCTGGTCTATGAACCAAAGTGGAAAGTGGATGACTTCACCGTGACAGCTTAAAGAAAACCTTACTTGCTCCTTGCAAAAGATGATATTTGGAGAGAAGAAAAACCATGTTTGGATGTGTTTGAAGATAAACTGAGCTGAAACTCAGAGTTATCCACAGTTTCTCCTCACATAAGATACATGGAAGCTTTGGGATTATTATTAATGATGTCAATAAAAATAATAATTAGTATTTATATAATGTTTTAAGGCTTACAAAATGCTTTGCATATATTATCTCATTTGATCTTTCAAAATACCCAGTGAAGTAGGTAATATTATTGTTCCTGTTCTACAGATGAGGAAATTGAGGCCTAGAGAAATGATTTGCCCAAGGTGTCATAGCTAATAGGCATGTGAGGTCACATATCTACTCAGGTCTTCCTGACTCCAAGCCCAGTGCTCTATCTACTGGTTCATCTAGATTATTCCTTAGAATGCTGCATTTTACATTTTTTATTTGTCAAAATAATTTCATCAAAAAAGACTTCGATCTGTCCACCTTGTGCCAACACTCAGTGATAGCATCACAGACCCCAAGTCCTGAATCCAAAGTAATTGAGAAAGTTATGGCAAGAGCAAAATAAAGACAAATCTTGTGGAAGGCCACAAGGCTTTTTCATCTTAGTAACCTTGGCCTCCTGAATGTGTAGCTTCTATTCCAGAGGAGTAATCAGTGATTGGGTGGGAACTTCCATATTTTCCTGCAAGGAAGGAGGTGGAGTTTGATTTCTGTTTCTTAAAACAGAAACAGGACCTGTTTTCCCCGGGGATAGAAGTGGATTAAACAAGGTGTTCCAAACTTGAAACAAGATATGCATTGCTTACCATACAAACTTACTTTTTGTTTAACTTCAACAATTCTTCTCTCCAGATCAGATGGAATCATTTTCCCTCTATGAAAAAGAATAATTATGTCAAAAGTTTGATTTAAGTAATGTCCTCTGAATCCTTTAAAAGGTAAGTAACATTGCATGGGAAATATCCTGAAATAAAAAATGGATAACAATGACCATTTTAAAAGGACGCACTAAGGCAGAGAAACTGGAGCTTTACCTAAGGATGCTGGTATTGGAGGGGGAGGCTTATCTCTTATGGCAAGGTCTTGGCTTGCTGGCTCCACATCATACAAAGTCAACTCTGAGATTCCCAACCTTCTCCCAGGATCCACCTTCACCGACCACTGTTCCACCTCCCATCTGATTTCTTTTTTAAATTAGTGCTTTTATTTTTATCAATGATTTGGATAAAAATATAGATGGTCTAATCATAAAATTTGCAGATGTCACAGAGCTGGAAGGGATAGCTAACATGGTGGATGAAAAGTCAGTATTCAAAAGGATCTTGACAGTCTAGATCATCGGAGTTGGCAAACTTCTTACTTCCCAAGGAGCAAATTTGGCCCAAGCCCATTATCAAGAGCTAAAATGGTTTTTTTTTAATATTTTAAAACATAAGACTTATTTTTAAAATAAAAAACATTCTTAGCTCCTGGACCTTTCAAAAACAGGCAATGTCTGGATTTGGCCTGTAGGCCATTGTTTGCCCTCCTCGTGCCTAAGAGCATTGGACTGATGATGAAACTTAATAGGCATAAATGTAAAATCTTCATTTGGGTACAAAAAAATCAAGTATGAGATGGAAAACGTTTGGTTCAATGACAGTCATTCTGAAAAAGATCTGGGGATTTTAGGGGAGTTCAAGATGAATGTGAGATGTGATAGATACAACAGCCAAAAAAGCTAATGGGATCTTGAACTGCATTAAGAGGGGGCATGGCTTCTAGGTATCAGGAAGTGATAGTGCCACTATACTCTGCCCTCAGCAGACTTCATCTGGAACATTGTTTTCAGTTCTGATTTAAGAAGGACTTTAAAAAAACCAGAGAGCTGAGAGGAGGGCAACCAGGATGTGAAGGGCTTTGGGTCCATGTCATATGAGGATTGGTTGAAGGTACTAGGAATGTTTAGCCTAGGAAAGAAAAGACCCTGGGGGAACAGAATATCTGTGTTGAAGTATTTGAAGGACAGTCATATGGAGAGAGGGTTAGACCTTCTAGGGCCCATTTGGCCCTAGAAGGAAGATTCAAAAGTAATGGCTGAAAGTTGCAGAGGTAAATTTAGGTTCCATGTCAGGAAAAACTTCCTAAAGTAGAAAAGGCTACCTCAGGAGGCGGTGGTTCCCCTTCCTTGGAAAACTTCAAGCAGGGACACGATAGTCACTTGTTAGGTATGTTAGGGTACGAAATCTTCTGTGTATGGGCCGGACTAGTTGACTTCTGAGGTTCCTTCTAACTCTCAGATTCTGATTGCATATTCCCTTCTCCCATTGTCTCTTCCAGAGATTGGGTTGGGGTTTTCATCCTTACCATAAATGTTGGGGGTCAGGCTTCTTGGGAAACAGCCATCCTTGAGTATCTGCACATAACCAAGACTGACCATCCTCTGACCCAGACTCAAATAATTTTCTCTGGTTGCCAAAATTCCTAATGATAGCTCTCCCGTTGGTTCAAAAGAAATTGTCATTTCTAGGAAAATGTTTTATTAATTTCTCTAAGTGATTATTGTCCATGGTGCATCCCTTTCCAGCAGTTAGTATCCTCTCTTCCTCAAAAATATTTATCACATATTATTTTTATCTGTTTATTTATGCACATGTTGTTGCTCCCCTCTGCCCCCATAGAATATAAGCTCCTTGAGGGTAGGAACTGTTTCATTTTTGTCTTTGCATCCCCACTGCCTGACAAAGTCTGCCACATTTGGTTCCTGATTGATTGGCAACACTGATCATCCCATGTTTGGGTCCTGTAGCATCTATAAGAGGTAGCATGGTTTAATGGAGAGAGTGCTGAATGACCTTCTCGACGACACATACTAATTATATGACCATAGGCAAGTAACTGAATAACATATCTCATGGTTTTAGAAGTGGAAGGGATCTCAGAAGTCCAATGGCCCTTATCTCTACCATTTTGCAGATGAGAAAGCTGAGCCTCAAAGAAGTTCAATGATTTACATGGGTATGGGCTTAGCTATGATTTCTGAGCTTTTGTTTTCCCATCTTTAAAATGGAGATGGGGGAGCTAGGTGAAATGCTTACTAGCTGTGTGACTCTGGGCAAGTCACTTAACCCCAACTGCCTCACCAAAAAATTGGAGATGAGAATAATAGATGTACTATTCATCATCATCATCATCATCATCATCATCATCATCATCATCATCATCATCAATAGTGTTCCCTGGTACACCCATTTCATAAGTTACCTTCACTTGATTTCATATCTATCTATCTATTTGTTTATCTATCTATCTGTCTGTCTATCTATCTGGTCTGGATGTTTTAGTTTATTGGTACAGGAAATTCCTGGACAGGAGATTTTCTTTACCAAGGCAAATTAGCACCTGCTTTACAACAGTCACAAAGTTACCTGGGGCTCTGAGAGGGTAAGTCACTTTTCTAGGGTCACCAGAGAGTACACGTAAGAGACAGAACTGGAACCCAGGCCTTCTGTCCCCTGGGGAAAACTCTCTATACACTGTGTCACACTACCTCTCAGTGGCTTTCATAAACATTTTTGAAGCAAGACATCTATTAATTAAAGAGGAAGTAGCAAAACACCTGCATTTCAAAAGTGTGACAGAATGAACTGGCAAGAAAGGAAATGCTGAGAATAGAATGAGCCATTCTGAAATCATTTGAGTATCTTCTTTTATTTTTTCCCACTAGAAGTATGAATAATACAGATGGAAATGGCTTATACTTCAAACAAGAGGAGATAAATACTAGAGGAAAGTCAATTAGCTGGGAAAGAGCCATTAATTAGCCTTTTTATTCCCCATACTCTCTATTTCTTATGTGAGGGTGAGGGGGACTCAATTGACCCTTGATCAATTGATTTTCCCCTAGTCCAATTAAAGAAATTACAGAAGGTAAAAGGCAAGTAACAATGAGGAGTTAAGGACTTAAACAATGTACAAGTCGTATCTCTACTCCATTATACCACGTGAGTAAATTCATTAGTTAAGCCTGAACAAATTAGAGGGCCAGTAGCCATTGGTAGACCAAAGATCAGCCACATTTCAGTAGCTCTTTAAAAACTGAGATAGACTCTCTAGGGCCTGAGTTAAGGCAGGAGTAAACTCTGAGGAGTGTGAGTTTTGTAAGACAAAAAGGAAGGAATCAGTCTTTGCTTGGAGCTGGGTCTGGGGAGGAGATTTGAGGCTGGGCATCTTGCAATAGAATTGTTTGCCCAGCCGTAGACACCAACCTAAGAGGGAGGGGGCCTGACTGGTCAAAGCACCAGAACCGAGGAGTTTAAGTGCCTTTAGATCTCAGGAGATGAACTTTGGAGAAGGAGACTAGTTGAGTGACCTGCCTAACAGAGATGCTGCCTCCAAGGAGAGCAATATTATGTTCTCAAGACTGACGAGGCGCACTAGGGCTCAATCTGATATTTTTGAAAAGAATATTACATATATGAAGTCTGAATGATATTTTGTTATCTTTGGAGAAAGATCCTCTAGAACAAAGGAACTGTTTAATTTATTTTTTGATAGTGCTATATAGCTTGATCTTATCCATAGGCAACAAGGAGTTAATACATTGTCTTGATTTGATCCCTTTATTTTGGAAGACATGCTTAGTCCTATTTAGGACAGATGATAATGGACTTGAGGCCAAGCAGAATCACAATGAACTTAAACTGCTTCTCTGAAAAATGCAATTTTCACTGTGAATTGTTCTTGAAATTCCTGCGTTGGTAGCACGTTTTAAGAAGAGAGTAGTTTCCCCGTGGACATCAAATACTCTGATGTTCAATTAATGACATCTCTAGAGTTCAACTGGTCAATTTATCTGGATTCTTGTCAGGCCTTGAAAGCCTGAGGGAAGAATCTCAGGGCATTACAAAGGGCCCTACTCTACATCAGCTTTCCCTTACCTTGCCTTTTCCCCAGCCTTGCTACATGAATCATAGGCTGGGTTTTGAAGTAGTTAGTGTTGTTATTATTGTTGTTCTTATTGTTACTATGAGTACTTAGGCAGTCAGCTAAGCACTATTTATTGGTTTTGACTCACAAATTTGGCCCCTGGTATAGGAATCCTTTGTCCCAGATGGCTTTCATGAATGAATCAAGCCTTGCTTTGTTCTCCTAGGTGTGTATGGGGAGAATTTTTTTTTTAATTTTGTGAAGAGTTGGGTGAATTTTTCCATTTGGGATTCATTCAATGTCTGGAACCATTTCTGATTTACTGGGGCTACTGCTAGTCCTAATTAGCAAGGGTTTTTTCCAGGTTTGTACCTTTAAACTGGGTGACCTGTATTGGATATTTCACTGAGAGTTTCTCTAACACCATATGAAAACAGTGCTCTGAATTTAACATCTCTTTGTCCAGGAGACCCACGTATATACATTGTGATCTGATCTCGTAAAGTTGAAAGCTCAGCTCCTTAGGGAATGTCATGAATGATCATGAAAATATTAGGCTGCTCTCCCCCCCCATCTCTATATATTTTCTTTGTATTTACTTATTTGTTATCTTCCCAATAGAATGTAAGCTCCTTGAGGGCAGGAAGCATTTCTTTCTCTTTTTTTGGACTTTTTATCCCCTGTGCCTAGCTCAGTACTTGGCATGTGGGATAGGATAGGGACTAGAGATAGAGACTGATTCTGTGATTTCATTAGTCTGGCATATGGGGATCTAGTAATCAATAACTATCATTTATTACTAATAACAAATTCTTATTGGTTGATTGCCTGATTGATTTTTTTATCCTCTTTATTCACCTGTCCTAGCTATCAAAGAGGTGAACACTATTAATTAAACAATATTGTAGGTCACTCAACTTATTCTGATAGCCTTTGAAACCTTATTATTGAGGGGGCAGGGTGTAG